TAACCTCTAAATTCAGCCTCCGCGCGGAATGACCGGTCTCACCGAGTCTCGTCGCGTGCATACACGACGTCGTCGCTCTGCCTTCCGCTCTCCCGTTATCTTGGCCCTCGTCTTTCCAGCAGCCTTCTCCTTGCCTCTCTTATCGTATTCCTCTCGGATAAAAGGCTGTTGTCTCGTCGCGAAGCATCACTGTCGCGTTTTAACGTTTTTAAAGTTCATCCGTTGACAACGAGATCGCACGATTCGATTTGGAAATTACGCCCGCGGACCGGCGGGCAATCGAGCAAGTATTTTACCTACCGCTGGGAAGCTTTAAAGCAAGATAAGTTCGCGGATCCGTTGAAAGATGGCGTAAACACGTTCCCGACCCGGGGAACAGGTTAGGATAGGACGTCAACGTCAACGTCGCGCGGCAACGCGTTAATTATAGCAAAAAAGTTACGATCGATTTATTGGTCGAGCCCCGTTTCATCCTCCGCCCCGGATGTTTTTCTTTCTTTTCTTTTTTTCTTTTTCGCATATTTAAAAGCGTTTACGATGTTCGTTTTTAAGGACTGCCTGATAAAACGGCGCCAATCAACTCCACCTGCGGACTCGCCGCGTCCTCTTATCTGGCGTTTCGATATCCCCTTGAATGTCGAACCGGTGTCCATTAATCATCGGCTAAAACGAACCAAATAAACACGATTTGGTAAATCTTCACGATGGTTAAATCGGGCATCGCCGACGACCGATAGACGAGACTCTTTTACGACGTCTTTTATCTGAATTATTGACATAGAGCAAATACTTCGTTAAAAAAATTAAATTAAACCAAATTAATTATAAATTTCTTTTCTTACGTATATCTGCTCGGATATACATATATACATATATACATATATATACATATATAGATATAGATAAAATATATGTATATAGAAAGGACCATGATATTGTTTTATTTAAATATATTATAAATTATATAAATTATATAATTAATATATTATTAAATATATTATAAATGTATTACTTGTATTTTAAATATATTTAAAAGGATTTACGTTTGTAGAAAGGTGCTGAGGAGGCTTTTGAAGTTGACGAGCGAATGCAAGTTCCTCTCCCATAAATGTGTGTAACTTCTGGCATTCTGCGCCGTGGCGTATTCTTTTTCCTTTCTCCTTGTCTACTGTCTTGTCTACTCTCGAATCTGGCGCCATCGTCATCCCCACGACGGGCCGGCGAGACGCGTGGGACTTTCCGGCGACAAGTCCTTTATGATACCGCCCGTACGCCCGCAGCCTCTCGCTGCGAACGAACACTTTTACCAAGAAAGAAAGAAAGAAAGAAAGAAA